AGGGAAAGCTGACATCTGAAAACTGAACTTTCCTTATCCACATCAAACAATCTATTAATTAACAAAGCAGCACAGCAATCCAGTTTTGTACTTCCTTTCAGAACACAGTGGTAATTGTTGGAAACATTGGATAAGACAAAACAATGGCTCTGCCAGAAGATTTCCACATTACACTGGCTTCAAAAACAGCTTCCAGTAATTCACAGACTCAGAAAATATTTAGATAACATGGATTTCTTTCTTCTTATCATTCATCAATGTCTTAGGCTTTATAAGTCTCTGAACTGAAATCCTATCACACTTGAACACCAGCATTAGTATCAATCAAATTGATATTAACTTGTATGTTATATGTCTAAAACATGTCTAAATATCTTGTACATAGCTTATATCACTGGAATATCAAAGAAGGATTCAGAAGGTGATCAGTGCCTTCAGTAGCTCTTCCAATGACATGTCTTAGTGAGTAATATCTCTAATAAACAAATACTTTAAAGAACAGAATCTTCTCACCATTTTACAGATAAAGGTTGCATATTTCCCCTGAAAAACTACAGAGAAACTGTAATATGTAATATAAAGACTCATCATTAAAATAACTCTCCTAAAGGAACGCGTGGGAGTCCCAAGTGCTATAAACATCAGACCTTCACTCACTTTTATGGAGTTAAAACAAATTACACTAACTGAGAATTCATCTCTCTCTTTAATTTGCCAGCAGTCTTATTTGGCCTTGTATTTTCTTATTAGTCTAGATGCATTTTAAAATCTCCAAAACAAGTAGCTAAATTATAACCTTTGAGAGCCTAATGTTCTCTAGGCATCAGACAAATTTGATTCATTCTGATATATCTGTTATCAGTGATGGTATGAGATTATGACTTAGAGGATCCTGCTTGCCTGCCTGGGTTTGACTGCATCACAAAGTTGAGATCTTCTGACATAAACTCACATATTCAGGACAAAAAAAAATGAGCTATTGATAATTTCATAAAGCATTGCACACAGACATGCACTGCAATAAAACTGTGCTGTGGACCACTTGTTTCCCTTACAATCATTGGATTTTGCCAGATTTTTCC